AAAGAGAAAAATTAAAAAAATAACCAATTTACCTAACCTATGCGGCCTTGTGTTTTCGAAATTTTTACATTCGAATTTTTATAGTGCGAACTATTGTTTTCAGAATTTTCTTATTCAAACTTTTTGTTGGGGGGTGGGTTGGCTCAGTGGTTCGAGTCATGACTTTGAGATAGGAAGGTCTCAGGATCGAATCCCACCGTTGGCCGGGATTTTTTTATTTAATTTAATTATTTAAAATTAATTCTGATGCCTTGGTAGGATTCCCCACTCGACCATTCACTGTTGGGTTCTAATTAACAGTGCTGTTCCTAAAGTGGCGCAAGGAAACAGTAACAAGGCCTGTCTGTAGGGGTGTAGGAGTATTAGAGTACTAATACTTCTACACTATGGAGTATTAGACTACTAGTACAATCCATAACCTACATAGAACACTAGGCTAATGACCTTAGATGTTGAAGCCGTACACTAAAGAAAAAAAATTTTTTTTGTTATTTGAACTTATTTTAGCAACGCATTTTATTTTTTTTCAACTTTACTTCAAAACCCAAATTCAATATAACCACGTTGCAAAGAAGATGACCACTTATGTTAAAAAAGACGGTTCCATGAATTTACGTCAGTTTACTTTTCGTTGCAGAAAATTATGTTAAAAGTTAGGACAAACGGTGAAAATAGTGGAATTTTAATAAATAAATGAAAATTGCGAATGAAATATATTTTTCCGTATCTAATTTCCCTTAGAATATTAAAGTAAGTAGTTATAAAACTTCGAAATTAGTGCACCCGGATTCTTAACCGGAACCACCACACCTCTCTTCTGTTGACTAGTTTAGGATTAGTAAGAACCAGAACCACAAATCAATTTAATTTGTCATTTTAGTTGCTAATGTCTTCAAATTAAAAAAGTTTAAAAAAGCGATTTCAAAATCGCCTAAAAGTGTCACAGATAAAGGTTCAGCTAATAAAAATGTTGCAGATGAAATCACTCGTGATGATAACTTAACTAATAGACCTTTCCTGTGTTTTGCAGAAAAATTATGAATAAAATGAAAAAAAAAAAATAAAAAAACCCTTAACTAATATACCTAACCTGTGCGTCCTGCAGAAAAATTATACATAAAAAGAGAAAAATTAAAAAAAAATTAACCAATTTACCTAACCCATACGAGTTTGTTTTCGAAATTTTGACATTCGAATTTTTATAGTGCGAACTATTGTTTTCAGAATTTTCTTATTCAAACTTTTTGTTATTTGAACTTATTTTAGCAACTCATTTTATTTTTTTTTTTTTCAATTTCTCTTCAAATTCAAATTCAATATGACCACGTTGCAAAGTAGATGACCACTTGTATCAAAAAAGACGGTTCCATGAATTTACGTCAGTTTACTTTTCGTTGCAGAAATTTATGGTTAAAGTTAGAAATAAACCTTAGAGAATAAACGGTGAAAATCTTAGACTAGGTAAACACGAACAAAAACTTTGGTGTCACCGAAATGATTAGCACCAAAATAATGGCGGCCAATAGATAATCAGCACAGAATACTACGTGTGCTCGATATACTTGTTATGCGTCCTCTCTTTATTACCTAGTCTAAGGTGAAAATAGTAGAACAACTTTAATAATATAAATGAAAATTGCCAATGAAACATTTTTCCGTATCTAATTTTCCTTAGAATATTATAAAAAATAAGTTTCTTCAATGATGTAGTTATAAAACTTCGAAATTAGTGCATCCGGATTCTTCACCGGAACTACCATACCTATCTTGTGTTGACTGGTTCAAGATTAGTAAGAACCAGAACCAATTCAATTCAATTTGTCACTTTAGTTGTCAATGTCATCAACTTAAAAATGAAAAAAAAAAAAATTAAAAAGCGATTTCAAAATCGCCAAAAAGTATTACAGATAAAGGTTTAGCCACTATACGAGGCAAGAGAGAGGTCCGACACGCCCAACATAAGGCGCAGCCATTTTGAACCCTGTAACACAGTTTACAGCTAAAGAATTAGATCGCTCACTCTGCGTCGGCACTTTGGATCTCAATGTTTCAGTTTATACACTGTGCAACTCGGATAATACAATATATGACAACCGCCTATAATAAAACAGCAGTCTTCTGCATATCCTGAATTTGTATCCCTGAAGTGGATGTTATTTTGGAACTTTCAACTGGTCCGAGTGAGCTAACTGATTCTTTAGCAATAAACTGTGACTTCAAAAATAATATTCACTGACACTGACAGCAGCAAGCAAAATATCAGGTGCGTTTTAATCATCCGCTTCTGCTTCCGGAATTGTCGGTTTAGTCGTTTTAACTTGTCAGATTAAAACAAGAAAACCGACAATTCCGAAGCAGAAGTGGATGATTAAAACGCACCTATTAAAAATATTGCGCCAAGATGTAGGCAACACGTAATAAGGGTTCAAAATGGCGGAGTTTTCTATCTCCTTTTAAAAGGCACTCAGAAAGCTGCGCAGTGCGACCATTCTCCGTTCAAAGTATGTGGGTTTAGCTAATAAAAATGCTCCAGATGAAATCAATCCTGATGATAACTAATTTACTTTTCCTGTAGGGTTGCCACCTTTCCTTTTTTGAAGCAAAATGTCCTTGTGACTTTTTAAGGGTTAAAATGTCCTTTCTACGACAAATGTCTTTTAGAAGGATTTTTTTGTTCAGGTCTACACCCATTTTTTTAGGAGCTCGGTACGACGAGGACAAGGATTTCTTTTATTTAGCTTGACGACTGACAACCTTTTGTAGTTCACTAGAAGGATGAGGACTTTTTTGCTTTTTGTATGCCAGAGCACTTGTTAGTATCGTAGTCCTTTTTTCACTTTTCAAAAAGGTGGCAACCCTACTTTCCTGTGATTTGCAGAAAAATTATACATAAAATTAAAAAAAAAACCCTTAATTAATTTACCTAACCTGTGCAGCCTGGAGCCATCGCGGTTGCTTAGCAGAAAAATTATACATAAAAAGAGAAATATTAAAAAAACTTAAGCACTTTGCATAACCTGTACGGCCTTGTGTTTTCGAAATTTTGTCATTCGAATTTTTATAGTTCGATCTCTTCTTTTCAGAATTTTCTAATTCAAACTTTTTGTTATTTGAACTTATTTTAGCAACTCATTTAATTTTTTTTCAACTTATCCAAAAGAAAATCAAAGTATGTGACTTATCCACAAAACCCAAATTCAATATGACCACGTTGCAAACTAGATGACCATTTATGTCAAAAAAGACGGTTCCATGAATTTACGTCACTTTACTTTTCGTTGCAGAAAATTATGTTAAACGGTGAAAATAGTAGAATAAATGAAAATTGCCGATGAAACATTTTTCCGTATCTAATTTTCCTTAGAATATTATAAAAAGTAAGTTACTTCAATAATGTAGTCATAAAACTTCGAAATTAGTGCATCCGGATTCTTCACCGGAACTACTACGCCTCTCTTATATTAGGCATTCCAAACAAATGAATTGCCAGTGGGAAGGTTTGGTATAACTAAGGGTGGCGACATACGATGTATTCTATCTACTTTACGTAAAATCATGAATAATGGAATACATTTAAATATTTTATGTCAAACACAATAAAAATAATATTTAAAAAACCCACCTATACATTTCTTCATAAATTGGCAGGCTTGGCGACTACTACTTCAAATAAAAATAGCGTCCAAGTTGCAAGACTATGTCGCTACCCCCCTTAGATATACAAGAATTTCCCACTGGCACCTATTGTTTGACAGGTCGTTGAAATGCCTAATTAGGCATTCCAAACAAATGAATTGCCAGTGGGAAGGTTTGGTATATCTAAGGGTGGCGACATACGGTGTATTCTATCTACTTTACGTAAAATCATGAATAATGGATTACAATTAAATATTTTATGTCAAACACAATAAAAATAATATTTAAAAAACCTACCTATACATTTCTTCATAAATTGACAGGCTTGGCGACTACTACTTCGAATAAAAATAGCGTCCAAGTTGCAAGACTATGTCGCTACCCCCCTTAGATATACAAGAATTTCCCACTGGCACATATTGTTTGACAGGTCGTTGGAATGCCTAATTAGCACATACTTTGATTTTCTTTTACTATACGGAGAATGGTCGCACTGCGCAGCTTTCTGAGTGCCTTTTAAAACGAGATAGAAAACTCCGCCATTTTGAACCCTTATTACGTGTTGCCTACATCTTGGCGCAATATTTTTAATAGGTGCGTTTTAATCATCCGCTTCTGCTTCGGAATTGTCGGTTTTCTTGTTTTAATCTGACAGGTTAAAACGGCTAAACCGACAATTCCGGAAGCAGAAGCGGATGATTAAAACGCACCTGATATTTTGCTTGCTGCTGTCAGTGTCAGTGAATATTATTTTTTAAGTCACAGTTTATTGCTAAAGAATCAGTTAGCTCACTCGGACCAGTTGAAAGTTCCAAAATAACATCCACTCCAGGGATACAAATTCAGGATACGTAGAAGACTGCTGTTTTATTATAGGCGGTTGTCATATATTGTATTATCCGAGTTGCACAGTGTATAAACTGAAACATTGAGATCAAAAGTGCCGACGCAGAGTGAGCGATCTGATTCTTTAGCTGTAAACTGTGTCACAGGGTTCAAAATGGCCGCGCCCTATGTTGGGCGTGTCGGACCTCTCTCTTGCCTCGTATAGTAATCAAAGTATGTGCTAATTAGGCATTCCAAACAAATGAATTACCAGTGGGAAGGTTTGGTATATCTAAGGGTGGCGACATATGGTGTATTCTATCTACTTTACGTAAAATCATGAATAATGGATTACATTTAAATATTTTATGTCAAACACAAAAAAAATAATATTTAAAAAACCCACCTATACATTTCTTCATAAATTGGCAGGCTTGGCCAGTACTACTTCGAATAAAAATAGCGTCCAAGTTACAAGACTATGGCGCTACCCCCTTAAATTACAAGAATTTCCCACTGGCACCTATTGTTTGACAGGTCGTTGGAATGTCTTCAAATTAAAAATGAAAAAAAAGTTTAAAAAAGCGATTTCAAAATCTCCAAAAAGCGTCACAGATAAAGATTCAGCTAAAAGAAATGCTGCAGATGAAATCACTCATGATGATACTACTGCTGAAGATACAGACGGTGAAACAGAAGAAAACAAATTTGTATCAGTAAAACATGGAAAGTTTGTATACGATTTTAAATTTCGAACAATTAAAATAATAGCAATAATATTATTGCTGCTACTATTTTCCAATATTTTACTGTCTCTTAAACTATTTGATGTCGCAATAAGAATTCGAAACCATTTAGGTTATTTTATAAATATGGTTACTGATGGAGGAGAAGGTGCGAAGTTACCGATGTTTCAGTCAATTCCGGTTTTGATATTTTTACTTCTGGATATTATTTTTATAATTGCACTTTGGAAAATATTTAAAACTAAACCGCAACGTAAATACAACTGGTTACTATTTATCACGATTCTGGTAGATGTGGTTTTTATATTAGGAACATTTATTTTTTTATTTATTATTATGAGCCATATTTATCAAGAGCACACCTATATCCATGATGGTATCGTCGAGGCTATGAACAATTATTCCAGTAATTCTTTATTTAAGAAACAAATTGATAGGTAAGATCCTCCTTGCATTAATTACACCAGGAAATTATTAGTAAACAGGGTAATAAGGAGTTGTTGAACACTGCTCATCTAATTTTTACAACAAAATTAATATAGGAGAACCTCAAGGCTCAGAGTAGTGCCCAACACTCTTCTTATTACATCATCATCATCAACCACCTACTTTTAGTTACTGCTAACCATGATGGGAAGAAACCTTTCTTTCTGCTACGGCGATTGAGAAGATTTCAAAGTCGCAATCCCTAATTTTATAATAACTTACTAAAATTTACCCTTCGTAGATTGCAGATAGAATTCCAATGTTGCGGAAGTAAAAAATATGACGAATGGTACAATATACAATGGTACGATACTAGTTTGATAAAAAAAGGTCATGCTGAAAAAACTCATAGCAATACACCGTTCAGTTGCTGTTCCATTTCCTCTTTATTTCCGTGTATCCATCATAACATTGAAAATACTGGAAAGGCTTATTTGTATACCCCAGAACAAAATCTTAGTATATCCACCACTGGTTGTCATGAGAAAATATTGAAAAAAACAAGAGAAGTGGGATGGAGGATCATAGGAAATTTGTTCCTTCTCATTTTTCTTCAAGTTGTTCTCGTAGTAGGTCTACGATTTTTGCAAACCGCTCATTTTGAAAGGTTTATGTTCGAAGCTCACGACAGGCTTTACACAGCATGGATTTTTGGATGTGCAGTAAAAAAACCATCAAAAGAATCTAATTTACCTCCGCCAGTACCGCCTGTTCCAGAAGAATTAATGAAATGAGTTAGCCTTGGGCGAAGCGTGTGATTCATAATAATAAAAGAAGGTAAAAACGATAAAATCTAAATTTCCAGATCCAAATTTAGATTTTTTAATTCTCTATCTTATTTTTGAGTTTTTAAAAAAGTTATTTGAAAAAGATGTTTATTATTGTAACGATTTCTACCTATAGTTAAGATTCAGTAGATACGTCTACTGTTCGCGTATCTTGCGGTTTTGAACAGTATTTTGCAACCTCATATAAATTACTGGTTTCTTCAGATTTTTGCAAAAAAGTTCGTTTTGGAAACAAAATTGTGTTTTATCTTGTCTTTGAGAAACGCGTATATTTATAAACTACGTTTCAATGCTGCATCAGAAGGAGATATGGAAAATTCAATGGATAAAATTAGTTGACATATCCAGATATGTTGGATAAGGTAAAATTAAGTAAGCAGTATATTGCGTGATTTTGTCCAGTTGCAAATACTGGAAATGTGTCATATATGGTTTTGAACATGCGCAGTTTGATCATACAGGAAATGTTTTCGCGTATATCAATTTACCAACGTGCAGAAGTAGTATGTATATATTATACAGGGTGAGTCGGGAGGAGCGCACCAAACTCTAGGAGTATATTATACACGTGAAAATAATGTAAAAAAACTCATATGTTCTTATCCGATTTTCATTTGTTTTCAAGTTATGGCGTAATTAATAATATTCATTTAGCTTTCCACTTCTGAATTTTAACATTATCAAAGTATGCCATATGTTCAAGGCTCAAAGGCATTTGATAATTCTGACGTTTTGATGAACTGTCAATGTACAGTGAACAGTAACTGAACGTTTAATTTCGAATTTATGTGATTGTTAGTGTTGCAAAATGCCAGATACTTATTCAAATTTAGAATATGCAAATATGGTGTTTGTTTATGGTTTCTGTAATGGAAATGCTACAGCTGCTGCTGAAGAATATCGTCAACGTTTTCCACACCGAAGACATCCTGATAAAAACGTATTTATTATAATTTTCAACAAATTGTGCGATACTGGTAAGCTTCCCAGTGCTTTCATAACATCTGAACGCGCTACTCGACAAGGTTTTGTAGAAGTAGAAAATATTCTGCATCTAGTAAAAGAAGATGCAACTACTAGCTCACGGAGAATTGCCACTCAATTGGGAATTCCACCAAAAAGAGTAATAAACACACTCCACGAGCAAGGCTTATATCCTTATCACGTACAGAGAGTACAGCACCTACAACCACAGGATTACGCTAACCGTATGGAATTTTGTCGGTGGATAAATAATAATCATCGTGTTGTATCGAGTATACTCTTTACGGATGAAGCTACATTTACCCGTGATGGCAATAATAATACTCGTAACTATCATGTATGGTCAGACGAAAATCCCCACGCAACAGTCGAAAGCAATTTTCAACATCGGTTTTCTGTAAACGTGTGGTGTGGTATGGTTGACAGTTATTTAATTGACTTTTTCATTTTGGAGAATCGTCTCACAGGAGACAACTACCTCAATTTGTTACAAAATGAATTACAAAGGCCTGCTAGAGGATGTTCCTGTAAATATTAGAATGCAGATGTATAGTCCTTCCAATATCAATTGCAGAACACAGTTATGTGGGGAATCATCAATATTTAATATATACGCACAGTACTCATGCCAAATTTAGAAACGAAAAATAATGTTTACTCCCCTTATACAATGCGGTAAATATTAAAGGAACGGTCAGTCAACGTGTACTTGATATATATGTGTCAAAATCCATCATCTCCGTTGTTAACCAATGAAAACATCGAATCGTAAACTTAAATGCACTTTATTGGCCGAAGGTTTACGAAGGGGTGTTCGAAAATATTCCTGGAAGACAGTCTGCGATATCAGTGGAGTACTGTCGTGCGGTGTGTTTTGTATGTGTGGTTGGTTTAATTTAAATTTCTTTTAATAAATATAAATATGACGTTCTTTAGACCGTGGGCGAATGAAGAAAATGAAATTGCACAATGTAGTGAGATTAAAGACAGGTATGACTTTAACAATAAGGATTTAGATATACAAACACAACAAGTTATTTTAAATATATTCGAATGTTTACAAAAGGAAAATATTCAGCAGTCTGATAATACGATCATAATAAGAATGGCTGAATTAACTAAAGTAAATAAATTTTTCATTTATCGGGTAGTCACAAAAGGGGTTGCTGTGGATCATTCACAAAACCGAAAAACATGTAAAGAAAAACTGAAATCAGTTGACAGAGCTACCCAAGATTTTATACGAAGGACAATTTATAGTTTATATAAGGAGAACAGGGTTCCAACATTGGAAGTAATACAGCAAAAAATAGCAGATTTTCCAGGATACACTTATACCAGTTTGGAAACATTGCGTCAAGTTTTGTCAGCATGTGGTTTTAAACACAAAAAAATGAATAAACGGATGGCAATCACCGAATCGTCAAGGATAGTTCAATGGCGACAAGATTATTTGCGTCAGATAAAAGACTACAGAAGTTCTAATAGACACATAATTTATCTAGATGAAACATGGTTTGACAGTCACGATGTAGTAAATTTCGGTTTGGTTGACAGTAGTAAAAATTGCTGTTTGAATGGGTCATGTTCTAAAGGGAAACGTATTATAATAGTACACGCTGGAAGCAAAGACGGTTTCGTGCCTAATTTTATTATTATCATCTGTTAAACAAACTAAAAACTGCAGCTGATTATCATGAAGATATGACAGCAGAATTATTTGAAAAATGGTTTAATGAACAGCTCTTACCTAACATTCCACCAGTCAGTAATCGTTATGGACAACGCATCCTACCACTCACGGCAACTCTTTAAAATACCAAATAGTAGCAGTAACAAAGCTCAAATTTTAGCATTTATGTCTGAAAAAATATTCCTATTCCTGCCAGTGCAAGTGTAAAAAAGGCTTAACAAACAAAGAATTGCTTACTGTTATTAAAGGCATGAAGTTGGAAAAAATGTATTATATTGACAAGCTGTGCAAAGAACAGGGTCATACTTTTCTCAGACTATCTCCTTACTATTGCATATTTAACCCTATAGAGTTAATATAGGCAAACGTAAAATCAGAATTACGAAAATGTAATCAGTCTCCAGAACTGAGTAAAGAGGTTGTAGAACTCGTAAAGAAAGTTCTAGCAGCAGACCGCCAAGAGCTTTGGAAAAAAACTGCGTCAAACATGTTATTAAAGAAGAAGATGAGTATGTAGTATTACCCTCTTTACAACCCATCATAATTCAACCAAATGATGACTCTAGTTCAAAGGATTCAGACTGCCATGATTATTTATAAAGATACTTTAGAATTGAATTGTTTTTTCTTTTGTTTTATTTGCAAAGAATTTATTTTCCTTTATGGTTTTTGCTTTGAAATTTCGTTTTCCAGAAAAAAAAACGAATGGGGTACAAAAACGGCTCAGTTCACGTCTGGTACCCTGTTTAAACCAAACGCCCTTACAGGCAGGTACACTTTACTCGCTTTTTTACGTTTTATAATTTAATATTCAGTTGTAGCAAGTTAACGAGCTATAATGATTTTTTTTAAGTCCAAGTAAGACTACAATTAAGTGCATCTGTCTAAATCAAGGCGTATAATAACGTCCAATTTATAATGATTCGATTTCCTTTTAACGAATACTTTCTTGCACATGATATATATTAAAAGTATTTATAAAATAAATTTATAAAATGAGGTAGGTATCTACGCCTATGGCAGATCAAACAAAATTGTCGGTAAAGGTTCCGAACGAGTTTTTATGTTCTGCAATTGATAATGGAAGAACTATACTATCAGCACGATGGAGCTCCTGTACATGTCGCTCGTCAGGTCAAGCAACATTTGGACGAACGTTTTCCAGGGCGTTGGATTGGTCGTGGAGGTCCTATTAATTGGCCTGCAAGATCTCCAGACCTCACACCATTAGATTTTTGTTTGGACACACGGGATGCACTAATTAGACGAATTGAGAATACTGCAGCCCATATTAAAGAAGAAAGAAATCAATTAGGAGAGCAACAAACGATCTTCGTAGGCGAAGCAGAAAATGTTTAGAAGTCAATGGCGGTATTTTTGAACATTTATTGAAAGAACGCTATGATTAAGAAAATTTTTATGTGTAAATTTGTTTATTTGTTAATATGCTATAAATATGTAATAAACAAATGAAAATCGGATAAGAACATATGAGTTTTGTTCAAAGAGGTTAGAAAGGGTAGAGGTAACATAGGAAGCATTTGTCGCTGCGCGAATTTTGCCAAAACCGAAAAACTGGGTGGAAGGAGTAGGGAGATGTTCTGGGCCGGACTTAAATATTTGTATTGTAGTACCTAATTTTGGTGGGTAACTAAAAGATGAAAAATTATGAGACGTTTTTTTGACTTTATTTGTTAGCACAATTCATGTACGATGAGGGCAATAACACTTTATCAATATATAACTAGCTTAGGGCCGATTCCACCGTTGTGTCAAACAAAGTTTAAATTATTAAACGAAGATTAAAATGACATTGTTAATGTAAAAATGTCATTTTAAACTCCATTTAGTAATTTAAACTTCGTTTTTGTTAATATAAAAATGTCATTTTAATCTTCGTTTAGTATTTTAAACTTCGTTTAACAAAACGGTGAAATCGACCCTAAGTAAAAGTTTATAAAATGATTGCAACAAAATAGCTGTTGAGACAAAAAGTTATTGAAACAGCCAAAGTACTTTTTGCTCGAATTACACACAACAGTTTTTCTACGATCACACCAAAATAAAATAAATAATAAAATTTTATTAGAAATGGGTTACCTTTTCGTTCGTTATAATATTTTAAGTTTATTTGACATAAGCCTACTCTTCGAAGAGAAAAAAATGTTTTGGTACTTATATGCCGGTAATTATTTATGATTTAATTATTTACGGAAAATACCGTTCAATGAATTAAAATATTAGGAAGTCAATTAATAGTTATTTATGTAACCAGTTATGAAATGCCTTATTTTGTGTAACAAGTAAATAGT